TATATATATATATATATATATATATGTTCTTTGAGACAGGGTTTCTCTGTGTAGCCCTGACTGTCCTAGACTCACTTTGTAGACAGGCTGGCCTCGAACTCACAAAGCTCCACCTGCCTCTGCCTCCCCAAGTGCTGGGATTACAGGCAGGCACCACTGTACCTGGCCCCTTCTTATATTTTAAAATGCCCTTTTGAAGGGACTAGGGCTATAGCTCGATGGTAGAGCACTTGGCTAGCAAGCATGGGAGCCCGGGTCTATTCCCAGCACTGTACAAAACAAACAAAAAAACCTTTTAATGAGGAGACCACCCACAAAGGCAAAAGTGCCTAGGGCCCAACAGGTCACCGTAGTGTGCAGAAAGTACTCTGTAAGCCTACGGCGCTCCAGAACCACCTCAGGGCTCACACATTGCCTGCCACTGTCTGCCTCCGCCTCCAGCCCCAGGAAGGACACAAAGCCCTCTCCCAAGGGGAGGAGGAGTCCCAGTAGGAGGAGCTGCTGCCAGTTCAGCCCTAGTCCCACCCCATGCCAAGGCCAGCCTATGGGCTGCAAAGGGTTGACTGTGTACAAAAGCTCAGAATTTCCCCGGAGCAGCCACAGCCACTGCAGCTGCAGCTGCTTCTCTAAGCTGGTGCAGCTAGGACCAGTTTGTGGGACAGAACCCAGCCAAGCCACACTCGGGCTTACATAGCATGGTCAGGAAGTTTGGAGAATGAAGCCCTTCAGTCCTGAGGTCAGTAGGGACAAGTGGGCAGCTGGAGGGGTTCCAGGGCTGGGCTGGTTTTGGTTACTCTAAGCATCCCTTTTCCCAACGGCTGCTGGTTTTCTGGTGGAAGAAACGGAATAGCCTCCCTTGTTCACCAGGTCAGCCTGGGACTGAGGGCCCAGCTCTCAGCTGCTCCTTCAGAACAAATGTGATGGTTCCTCTGGCCCTTGAGGGGGAGGGGGTGGTAAGGTCGGGCAGAGGCAGAGCTTGTGGGAAGCAGCAGACAGCAGGGTCCTGACCACAGAAGTGATTTCACTCGTACCTCTCAATGGCAGTACTCCGCTCTAAGCTCCAAGCCTCTACTCTGCTCTCTGACCTTGGTGAGCCCTGTAGATCAATGTTTAACTGAAATCCCAGCGAGGACAAAATTGTGAGCGAGGGGCTGGGCCCAACTACTTCAAGTGGCGGTCAGAAAGTTTGGGATGCGCGATAACTATGCATGCCTCCCTTGGTCAGGTTTCCCCAGACCAACCCCATATCACTGCAGCCCACCTGCTTCGCATCTGTACACTCTTCCTGACCTTGCTCGACCTGGCCCACGGCTCCAGAGGTTCTATTGTATCCAGCCAGCCATTCATCACTATCTGGAATGGAGACACCTACAGTTGCCTGAATGATTATGGAGTGGATGTGGATGTCAGTGTTTTTGATGTGGTTGCCAACAAGGAGCAGATCTTCCAAGGGCCTAACATGACTATTTTCTACAACTGGCAGTTGGGCACCTACCCCTACTATAATACATCCACTGGGGAACCCATATTTGGTGGCCTGCCCCAGAATGCCAGCCTGGTGACCCACCTCGCTCAGGCATTCCAGGACATCAAGGCTGCCATTCCTGAACCTAACTTCTCAGGACTGGCAGTCGTCGACTGGGAGGCTTGGCGCCCACGATGGGCCTTCAACTGGGACAGCAAAGACATTTATCGACAGCACTCATTGGAACTGGTCCGGGCAGAGCACCCTGACTGGCCAGAAACTTTAGTGGAAGCCGTAGCCCAGGACCAGTTCCAGGAGGCTGCACAGGCCTGGATGGCAGGCACCCTCCAACTGGGGCAGGTACTACGCCCCCGTGGCCTCTGGGGCTACTATGGCTTCCCTGACTGCTACAACTATAACTTTCTAAGCCCCAACTACACAGGCCAGTGCTCACTAAGTATCCGTGAGCAGAATGACCAACTACAGTGGTTATGGAACCAGAGCTCTGCCCTCTATCCCAGTATCTACTTGCCTATAGCACTGATGGGCACAGGCAAGACACAGATGTATGTTCGAAACCGTTTGCAAGAGGCGTTCCGTGTGGCTTTAGCCTCCAGAGACCCCTGTGTGCCCATACTGCCCTACGTCCAGATCTTCTATGAAACGACAAATCATCTTCTGCCCCTGGTGAGTCCTCTGTGACTTTGTCACCCTTCCTTGTTAGGTAATAAGGTAATAGGTCCAACTGTGGAGTGGACATAGCTTCAGAGTACTACTATCTATGGGGGGTTGGCAGGAGGGAGAAGAAGGGTTCTTGGGACTCAAACTCAGGGCTTTATACCAATTGTTTTACTCCTGACTTAAATGTCCCAGTGGTTGGTCCATTCATTCCCTCGTCCATGGAGCATCTACTTGATACTACATTCTGTGTGAAGCATGAGTGATTCAGAGTTTAACAGAAGAATTAGCTCCTGTCTATTTACAGGCTAGACAGGGAACAGGCTTGACCCTGGCCACCAACACTAGAGCGGCCTCCCATGAAGGGGGGAATTATTACGGATTATTTATCCCCATCCAGTGATATCCCAGCAGTTCCAGAGGGGGGGAAAGACAGTAGGTCCCACAGAACAATGCAATCTCCTTCCCAGGAGGAGCTGGAGCACACCCTGGGGGAGAGTGCAGCTCAGGGAGCAGCAGGAGCTGTGCTCTGGATGAAGTCGGAAAAAACAAAAACCAAGGTACTTTGAGGCCTGGGAACAGGGGTAGGGGTGAGGAGAGACTGGCCTACTCTTTCTGCCCCTCAAGTCCTGGCTAAACAACAGACAAGTAACCTCCCAGGACTAAGTGGCCTCATCCACAGCTGTGGTGTCACTTATGCTCTCCTTCCCACTCAGGAATCATGCCAGGCCGTTAAAGAATATGTGGATTCCACACTCGGGCCCTTTGTCGTGAACGTGACCCGTGCGGCTCTTTTGTGCAGTAGAGCTCTGTGTTCCAGCCACGGTCGCTGCGTCCGCCACCCCAGTTATCCCGAGACTCTCCTCACCCTCAACCCTGCCAGTTTTTCCATTCAGCTAACACATGATGGCAGGCTCCCAAGCTTCAAGGGTCGACTCTCACTTGAGGATCAGGCACAGATGGCTAGGAAATTCCAGTGTCGGTGCTACCGTGGATGGAATGGCAAGTGGTGTCAGAAGCAGGGTACGTGGTAGTTGTACCAGGCCGCACACACCGAACACCTACCATACCCTGGGGGCCCACCTATGACTTCCTCAAACACAGTCACGCACACACAATTCAGTACACTCAACCACTGTCACAGCCGTTATGCACCCATCGGGAGAGTCACACAGTGAATCAGAATTAAGGGCAGGCACTGTTAATTCTAGGCCTCTAAGGACCTACTTGGCAGGATCATAGGCAGTTCCTCCAGAATCTACAAGTCAGCAGTCACAAAAGCTGACATTTACCATATGCCAAGCCCTGTGCTAAGCACGCACTTGAAGTGGACTGACTCAGTCTTCACAGTTCCTCCTTCCAGGGAGGCTGAGCACTTTTTAGTTACTTATTTCTTTGCTGTGCTGGGAATTGAAGGTAGGACCTCACACACACTAAGCAAGTACTCTTACCACAAAGCTATATTCCCAGCCGCTGAGGGCGAGTACTTTAGTCCAGTGTTGCCCAGCAAGAAGGGACAAGCAAGGCCAGGCATCATGATGTACACCTTTGATCCCAGCACTCAGGAGGCAGAGGCAGGAGGATCTCTATGAGTTCAAGGCCAGTCTGATCTACATTATTGAGCTCCAGGACAGCCAGAACTACACAGAGAGACACCGTCTCAAAACAAAACAAACAAAAACCCTAAACGAGATGCAATTGAAATGTAGGCTATCTGGCTCCAAAACAGAACCTTGCCCACCTTTGGTGTGTTGATGGTACCCTATCAGGGCTGGGAAAACACATTAACACCACTGTACATGATCTCTGAATCTGCTGAGAGTACCAGCCTTTCTCAACCCAGCAAACTAAAGTTGTCCTATTTTACTTAGCTCTTTGATTAGCTTCTAAAATAAGTCTCAGAAGGCACTGGAAAGGCTCTTCTCTTTCACTCAAATATTTTGTCTGAAGACGACTGCTTCCACCTGATCAGACCGTTTCCACGGATGCACTAGGACGGGCGACGCTACCTGAGCAGAGACAAAACGAAACTCCAACCTCTTTGAGCCTGTAGCAGGGAGAGGTGAGGGCGGATCTTAGGAGAGAAGCTGGAAGTCGGCGCCGAGCCTGCAGGGGGCCGAGCCAAGAGGAGGCGGAGCCAACGAGAGGAAGCGTCTGGCCTTGTGGCCGCCGGAAAACTAGAAGCCGAGGGACCGAATGGGCCTACACTAGTTCTGTTGTGACGCTCAGAACCAGGGGCGGGGTGTCTAGGTGGTTACATTCCAGGCACGGAGGACTTAGGAGGAGGTGTGCTGTCGCCTGCGAAGACTGCAGTGAGTCCTCCGTACTGCTGGGACCAGCGAAGGCAGACCGAGGAGTCGGTGCCAGAGTCACCGAGATACCGAACTGTGCGCAGGCAGGACGAGGCCCATCCCGGAACTCGGCTTTAACATGTCAGTATCACCCTTATTTCTCACATGTTGCCTGTCTATCCTCCCCGCGCCTGTGGTCCCTAAGTTACGGTATCTCCCTCAAGTCTTCCCAGTGTTGGCCCTTCCCTCTTAGAGCATGCTGAGCCACACCCACCCCTAATCATGCTTTCAAAACCCCCACTCCGAAAAGATCAATGGCCTGTGCTCAACAAAGGACAGGTGCAGACCCTCTGTGAAGACCCGGAGCTTCGCTCCATCAACAGTGGCGGAGGCCGCAATGAAGGGGTTAAGCGTGTAGGGGGGCGGGGGAGGGTTGTGGGTGGGGCGAGATGGTGGTGGGGAACCCTAGGGCTCCTCCTTCCAGACCTTACTTAGCAGGCCTAGGAGCTGGGGAGTGGGTGCTGAGCCAGCTGATTCAGGTAAGAGGCTGAAAGCCAGGTGTGTGGAAATGTGTGTGAAGGGGAGAGAGCCTCCTGTCCTCAGGCTAAGGGAAAGTTGGGAAGGGGAGTCAGGAGGCACTTTCTGGAGCAAGTGAGTAAAAGAGTGAGACGCAGCTGTCCGACCACTGCAAGAAATCCCCCAGCACAGAGCCTCCTGCCAGCAGGACCTAGAGTAAGGTGGGCAAACAACAGGGATTTAAGCATAGAGGCCTGGGTCTCCAACCTGGTGGCCGTTGGACACTGGTAGATTTAGGAAGGAAGCCATGGTCCTTATCAGAGTGACTACAAAACTCAGGCCAGAGGCATGCAGGCTTGCAAAAGCCACATTCTGTGTGATAAGTCAACCTCCATGCTGGTGCAGTAAAGGCCCCCATATATTGGGACAGTTGAGTCAATGCCCAAAGTGTCCTGAACTGGACAGAACTGGAGAGGAGGGCACTTGACAGCAGGTCTGGCTCAGGTAGCTGAAGAAGCTCAGCGCTGGAGGGGAGATGGCAGGTAGTGAGAAGAGGAGAGAGGGGAACTCCTGGGAGTAATCTTCTGAAAAAGGAAACTCAGGTGAAAGCAAGCTAGATATGATGTCTGGTTTGCACCCTTCTGCCAAGGCTAGCCAGCTACAGTCATGGACTCCTAAAGACAGCCTGCTCCTGTGTGCTGATGGCTGACACCTGTGATCCTAGGACTTGAGAGACTGAGGCAGTTAGATCACCACTTTGAGGCAAACACAGGCTGCATACCTTGGGGGCGGGGGAGGCAAACAAAAACAAAAGATATCGAGCAGGTGGGCTAGTGAGGTGTTGTGAAAGAGCTTCTGCCCCAGCCTTCAGCACTCACCAGGACACCTGCATTCCTTCGGCCTGCTCTCCATGAGTTCTCTCCTCAAGTGTAGGGATGGGCCTCTTCCAGGCTACTTGCACTTTAAAATGCACGTGGGAACAAGGTGAAGCATACCATTCCTCAGTTCCAGGATGCATGCCCCCCTTCCGCTTCATCAGTCCTTCCCCGACCCTGTCTTTCTGACACAGCCTAGCATGGCTGTTATCCACAGGAGATGAACCCTTGTATGAGGAGATGCCAGTGCCTGGAGACTGTGGCCTTACCTCCAGCCAGGCACTGAGCCACCTGAAACCTAACAGGAAGTGATCTTGGCTTCCTGCCTGACTCAGCTGAGCCTGGATCCTACCTGTAGGCAAGAGCTGACTCTGAGCCCTGGCCCAGTCAAGCTGACCCCTACCTTAGACTCCGAGGACCGGATGGAGCTGATCCTGAATACCAGCCCAGCAAAGCTGACTCTAGATCCTGCACACCAGCCAGAGCTGACCCTGAGATTCAACCAGACCAAGCTAACCCTGGATCCTGCACACCAGCCAGAGCTGTTGCTGAGTCCCAGGCTAGCTGAGCTGACCCTGGAGTCCACATGCCACCCAGAGATGAGCCTCAGTCCTGGCCCAGCTGAGCTTACCCTGGATCCTGAACACAAGGCAGAGGAGACCCCTGCCCCCAGCCTGGCTGAGTTGACCCTGGAGCCTGTGCACTGCCGACCTGAGCTACTGAGTGCCTGTGCTGACCTCATCAATGACCAGTGGCCCCGAAGTCGCGCCTCCCGCCTCCACTCCCTGGGCCAGTCCTCAGATGCCTTCCCCCTCTGCCTGATGCTCCTGAGCCCTCAACCCACACCTGGAGCAGCCCCTATTGTGGTGGGCCATGCCCGCTTGTCACGGGTGCTAGACCATCCCCACAGCCTCTTAGTGGAGACAGTGGTGGTAGCCCGGGCTCTGAGGGGTCGTGGCTTTGGTCGCTGCCTCATGGAGGGCTTGGAGGCCTTTGCCCGAGCCCGGGGCTTCCGACAGCTGCACCTCACCACTCATGACCAGCTACACTTCTATGCCCATCTGGGCTACCGACTGGGCAAGCCTGTGCAGGGTTTGGTCTTCACCAGTCATCGGCTGCCCACTACCCTCCTACGTGCCTTCTCTAAGACACCCTGCCCCCAGCCACCCTGCAAGGGGCCTATCCTAGCTGCCCAAGCTGTCCCAAGGAGCTCCAAGGGACCTCCATTGCCACCCCCTCCTCCCCTACCCCAGTCTCTGACCACCTCACCCCCTCCTTCACCAGAGCCCCTTCCTCAAAGCGTGCTAGAGACACAATACCGAGATCTGAAGGGGTGCCCTATATTCTGGATGGAAAAAGACATCTGAAGGCTAGGCACTGTCTTTCTGGGATGCTAGATTGCCCAGATCAGTCCCAGCCTCAGCCAACAGGCCATACTTCAGCCCCCTGGGGACAACCTTAGCCTGTCTATGTTTCCTGGGTAACAATGGGCCAGGAGGTGGCTTCAGAGCTTTGGCTCAGAGCTGTCGGTGTGGCTGAATAAAGGCTTCCATTAGGTATGGCTGTGACAATTTATTGGTTAACCGCCCTTCCGAGATCCCCTATGCCTGGCAGAAACCCTACTATCCAACATGGCCCAAGAGCCATTGAGATAATACCTGTCCTTTGCTGCTTCTCCTCTTCAGGGCCCAGGGTAACTGTTCCTTTCCCGTCTCACTCATTACCATTCACCGAGCACTTATGTGTTGGGCCCTGCACAGACATAGGCAATGGGGAATATGTAGACAAGCAGGGGTGAAAAAAGTAGCAGGACTCCTGCTGGGAGCCCAGGTGCCCTCACTTTCCCCCAGGGATCTGGGAGAGAGGTGATATCAGAGACCTGAGTGCTGAATATGAATTAAGACAGGGAAGCGAGAAGGCAAGAGCTGAGTGTTCTTGAGACAGAGACGATATGGCAGGGAAAGGGATTTGTGACAGCCATGAGTGGGAAGGCCTCAGAGAATATGATGGTGCCTTAACAGAGGGAGAATACTGGAGGTGAGGAGCCTAAGATGCTTGGGGTACAGCCTCTCTGAGAGAACCATGGAACAATTGGGAACCATACTAACCTCCCAGCTCTGCCCCTTTCCCTGAGGGGAGGAACTAGGGAAGCTTTTCTGGCTTTCCTTGCTGAACACAAGGCATGGCTTTGGCCATAGACTCTAAGCTTACCCCCTCTCTCCTGCAGGTTTCCATCTTTGTGGCATGACCGTGCAGCTAGGCCTAACCCTGGTGGTGGGGGTAGCCCTGTGCTTGATGCATGGCCAGTCTTTGCTGCAGGCTCCTGAGCGTCCCTTTTCAGTGCTGTGGAATGTACCCTCAGCAAGATGTAAGGCCCACTTTGGTGTGCATCTACCACTCAGTGCCCTCGGCATCATAGCCAACCATGGCCAGCATTTTCATGGCCAAAACATCACCATCTTCTACAAGAACCAGTTTGGTCTTTATCCTTACTTTGGACCTAGAGGCACAGCCCACAATGGGGGTATCCCTCAGGCTGTGTCTCTAGACCACCACTTGGCTCAAGCTGCCCACCAGATCCTCCACAGACTAGGATCTAGCTTTGCTGGTTTGGCGGTGCTGGACTGGGAAGAGTGGTATCCCCTCTGGACTGGGAACTGGGGCCCCCATCGGCAAGTCTACCAGGCAGCCTCCTGGGCTTGGGCACAGCAGAAGTTCCCTGACTTGGACCCTCAGGAACAGCTCCACAAAGCCCACACTGGCTTTGAGCAGGCTGCCCGTGCACTGATGGAATATACATTGCAGCTGGGCCAGACACTTCGCCCACGTGGGCTCTGGGGGTTTTATCGATACCCAGCCTGTGGCAATGGCTGGCATAATATGGCTTCCAATTACACAGGCCGGTGCCATGCAGCCATCGTTACCCGAAACACCCAGCTGCATTGGCTCTGGACTGCCTCCAGTGCTCTCTTCCCTAGCATCTACCTCCCACCCAGACTGCCACCTGCCTACCGTCAGGCCTTTGTACGGCACCGCCTGGAGGAGGCCTTCCGGGTAGCCCTTGCTGGGCATGCACATCCTCTACCTGTTCTGGCCTATGCTCGCCTCACACACCGGATCTCTGGGAGATTCTTGTCTCTGGTAAGTAAAGCTGAGGTAGGGTCTGAGTCCAGAGACACAGCCCTGTCCTAGAAAGGTTGAAGAGAAGACTTTTCCAAAGGGACTTGGGCAGGGGCGGTCATAATCTAGGGGTTTTAAAAAGACGCTATCCTAAACAAGGCAGTGGTGGTGCATGCCTTTAATCCCAGCACTTAGGAAGCAGAAGCAGGCAGATCTCTGTAAGTTCAAGGACAGAGTTCCAGGACAGCCAAGGCTACCCAGAGAAACCCTATCTCAAAAAACAAAACAAACTCTATCCTGGAGGAGGGAAGCATGGTTGTGGGCTGGGAGATCTTAATGGTACCTGGCCTAAGGACAGTCATTCTCTGAATGGAGGTCCTGAGACGTTACTTCGAGACTGTCAAAAGAGTCCTATTCTAGAGGCAGGACCAACCATAGCAGTGAACCACATGGTATCATGGTAAAGTTTGCACCTGGTGGATCTGGCCAGTCCAGCTTTGGCTTAACAGCTCTCTGCCCCCAGGATGACCTGATACAGACTGTTGGTGTGAGTGCAGCACTGGGGGCAGCTGGAGTGGTGCTCTGGGGGGACCTGAGTTTCTCCAGCTCTGAGGTGAGCATTTGCCCCTTCTTACACATGAACCGGAGCCCCAAGGTAGGGGAGAAGCCATGTCAAGTCATAGAAGGGGAGCAGTGACACCTCTCTTCTCTCCTTAGGAAGAGTGCTGGCGTCTCCATGACTACCTAGTGGGCACTTTAGGCCCCTATTTGATCAATGTGACTAAGGCTGCCATGAACTGCAGTCATCAGCATTGCCATGGCCATGGTCGCTGCGCTCGGAAAGACTCAGGACAAATGGAGGCCTTTCTGCATCTTCAGCCAGATGACGGTCTTGGAGCTTGGAAATCCTTCAGATGCCGTTGTTACTCAGGCTGGGTTGGCCCTACCTGCAAGGAGCCCAAACCTGAGCCCAAGGAAGCAACATAAAGTCAGGGGTTCCTGCCCTTGCTGCTTGCCCCTGCTGCAATTCCCATTTATAATTCCCCAAGTACATAGCCCACTTCCACAAACACAGCTTCCCTCAGAATTCCTGAGGAATAGATAGGGCCTAATAAAAGCATAAAACCAGTCTGCAGCCTCCTGAGATCATCTGACAATGAAGAAGCTTCTGAGAGTCAGTTCCAGACATTTAAGGTCGCCAGCCTGGGGGTTTGTTCCTATGCCTCGGTGTGCCTGCAGAGAAGTCGTGTCTAGGGGCAGAGAGACAACCCTTACACTACCCCCCCCAACAAACAAACAGGAACAACTAAGCTAAGGTCTTTTAAATGCTAAGCTGTTTTCTGTACTCTCATCCATAAAGTCACTCTTTCCTTATCTGAGGTTTGATTGTTCTCACGGTTCTACCAAGTGTCAAACCCTGGCGCCTCATTGCAGGTGCCTCTTTACTGGGGCCTAGAGATGCTTCTAGCGAGGAGGGAAACTATTGAGTTAACTATGAACCCAGGCAACGCGGGCGGGGGTAGGAGGAGGAGGGGCAAAGTGGGTACGCAAGGCATTGTGGGTACATAGTTTAGCTAGAGCGGCGTAGGCTTCGGTGTCTCCTGAATGGACTACGATTCCCATCGTGCACTGCGCCCAACTCGGGCGGCCCTAATCTGTGTACACTGACGCCTGGGGATAGTAGTTTCGGCCTCGTGGATGTGACTTCGAACCGGGTAGCCGGGAACTCATTTTCCCAGCGACCCGTTTGACAGGGCGTGGCGCGTCACGAAGATGGTGGCGCGCGCGGCGTGTGGCTCCTGTCTTCTCCAGTCCCAGCTCAGCGCACCGGCCAGCATTTCGCTGGTTTGGAGTCCCCGCCCTCCGGGTCCCTGACCCCGCGCCCCCTTCCCGTGTCCCCAGTTCCCGGTTCCAGGAATGCCTCGCGCTCGTAAGGGCAATGCGCTCCGCAAGGGCGGTCAGCGCCGTGGAGGAGGTGAGTCCTGGGGGCTCCAGTAGAAGTGTTCAGTAGTGAGCGGGGAGCGTTTTGTGGCTACCCTTCGATGTCAACGAGGGTCGTGGTTTGGCGAGTCTTCCCACGTCAGCCCAGCGCAACCTCCCGGAACTCTGCTAAGGCTCGCACGTGCCCCGGCAGGCATTGGCCACGTGTGCGCCCAGCTTAAGCTCATTGCCAGCTGTTTTTCGAAATCCCGCGCCTCAACGGTGATTTGGCCAACATTTAGGGACCTAGGTTTTCCCATCGCCACCGGGATGGACAGTCACACTAGACAGAGCGTGAATACTACCTTTCGCCAAATAATAGGGCATTTGGTGGACTGCACAAGGAAGTTAGTAGAGAGGCCTCGTCTGTTCTGTGAAACGGGGGAAGTATGATTGGAAAGGTACAGAATTGGGGTCTTAGCATTTGGGCTGGAGACTTGGGCGGACATCCAAGAAAGAGCCTGAGGCAGTCTGAAGACTCCTTATCAGCCTCAACCAGAAGCATGTCCTGTTGGGGTAAGCAGGTGACTCTGCCCAGATAAGAGTTCCTGCCAAGCATGTTCTGACCTGACTGCCACCCTTATGTGGCTTGGGTCTGTGGACATTTAGTGGCGTAGTGACAGTTCCACGAGGACTACTACTGAAAGCATTTACTGAGTGTACTCAGAATTTTGGGAAGCCCTGTGAGAGGAGCTTCTGGGTGAGACCTGAGACGGGGAAAGAACCCATGCAGAGAGCTTGTCCCTGCAAAATGAGGAAGTCTGGGCTGTTTTGACAAGTAGAATAGTAAGAGAAGAGGTGAACAGAAGTCGTTGTGTGGGTTGAACTTTTCCTACAGGCGGGTAATGTTAATGGTCCCTAAGACGTGAGGACTAATGCAGTAGCTGAACTTCTCAAAGCCAGGCCTAGGCCCTGGAGAGAATTCATACACAAGGGGGTTCCTGCCCTGCTGACACTTTGAGAGTTCCCTGTGTTTCCTTTTTTAAAATGCTCACAGGGTCAAGAGCTTCTTCTGGTCTTCCAAGGCTAGAAGGAATCATTGTGTCCATACCTAAACTTGGGGGTCCTGAGTGGACCAAAGGAAGCTCAGAAAACTATATTTGAAACACAGAGTGCCCAGCGCACCCACTGGGACCTGGGCCTCTGCTCCCGGAGTTGGTAGAGAGCTGAGTTTGGTAGCTGTAGCAGGGTCATTGCAAGTTGTCTTCACCTGCTTCACCTGAGAGGGGTGCTTTTCCATCCATGCTTTAAAGGCTGGGCAGCTAATCAAATTATACCTCTGCTGAAATGGGGGTAGGGGCGCGCTAAGGGTATAGTCCAAAGAAGACAAGACCTTGGCTCAGTTTAAACCCCTCTGTCTGTCTAGTACTATAACCTGAACCCTAACCTTTACATTGGCCTCTTTTGACCATAATCTAGGCTGGTCCCCCCAGCCTAGGTGGGATTCATCCAGTCTCTTCTGCCACTGTGTGTTTCCTGCTCTCCTTAGAGCAGACTGTGTCCTCCAGGGAGTGCTGGTTCACACCTTTATTCCTAATACTCCCGAAGGAAGGCCGAGGCAGGTGGATCTCTGAGTTCAAGGCCAGCCTGGTCTGCAGAGCTGGTTCCAGGACAGCCAGGGCTACACAAAGAAACTGTCTTGGGAAGGAGTTTGGAGTGGGAGCAGGCTGTACCCTCAGGGGGTCCCCATTCACTGGGTCTGCCAGGATGTCCTGGGTAGGCCTAGCCCCCGTGTTCTCCAGCAGACAGACCTCCGTCCCTTTTTCCTACTTCTTAATTCAAGTCCCATGTGTCAGGCCTTGTTTTGCCCATCTCTAAGATGGGATAGTTGAATGAGTCATCCCTCACCCGTGGAAGCTGCTCAGACAACAGTGTTATGTTCTGCAGGTGCCAGGAGCAGCACTCAAGCGGACTCCGGTTCCAGTGAGGATGAAGCAGCCAGCGAGGCCCGGAGCACCACCAGTGACTGTCCCAGCCTGCTGAGCACTGCTGCAGAGGACTGCTTGGGTGAGAACAAGTTGAAGGTTGACAGGGACTAGTGAGGGCTCCGCTGGACAAGGGCAGGATTTGGTGATACCAGACGGGCTGGCTTTGCAGGCGGGGAAGTGGTGGATGAGCAGAGCCAGCAGGAAAACCTGGAGGAAAAGCTGAAGGACTCCGTGGACTGCCTGACTGACAAGAGGTACTTCTTGGCTTGGCTGCTGGCCGACTTTACAAGGAGGGCCCAGTTCAGCCTGCAGCAAATGGAACCAAGGGAGCCATCACCCACATGAACCCTTTCTCTGCCTCCCAGTGCCAAGACCCGGCAAGGAGCTCTGGAGAGCCTGCGCCTGGCCCTGGCCTCCCGCCTACTTCCCGACTTCTTGCTGGAGCGCAGCCTCACGCTGGCGGATGCCCTGGAAAAGTGCCTTAAGAAAGGTCAAGTCCTGGGCACTTGGGGAACCCTAGCTAGACAGGTGTTGACGCTTGCTGCATGCGCTAACTGGAAAGCATCCTGTAGGGAAGGGTGAAGAACAGGCCCTGGGTGCCGCTGTGCTAGGCCTGCTCTGTGTGCAGTTGGGCCCTGGACCCAAGGGCGAGGAGCTGTTCCACAGCCTGCAGCCCCTGCTGCTTTCGGTGCTCAGTGACAGTACAGCAAGCCCTGCTGCCCGGCTCCATGTGAGTGTTTCTGTGCCCCACAGGTCCCTCATCTCAAAGCAGGGGATTGGGTTCTACCTTAGACTCCCTACTCAGACGATGCTCCTGATGTTGATCCATGGTAGCCTAGCTTTGTCCTCTTTCCAACAGTGTGCTTCTGCTCTTGGCTTGGGCTGCTATGTAGCTGCCACTGATGTCCAGGTAAGTGGACTGTGGACACGGGTGGTAGAGCAGCCAGACTCAGTTGCTCCGTCTGTGAGCCACTCCTGTCTCCCTGTGCTCCTAGGACCTGGTCTCTTGCCTGGCCTGCTTGGAAGGTGTTTTCAGCTGGTCCTGTGGCACTAGTGGCTCCGCTGCAGCTCAGGTTTCTGCCAGCCTACATGGTCTGCTGTGTGCTGCCCTGCAGGCCTGGGCATTGCTGCTCACCATCTGTCCCAGTACCCACATCAACCATATCCTTGACAGGTAGGGCCTCCGCCTACTGTGAGTGGGAGGGAATTTGTGAAGGGACCCTCAACCCATACATGAAGCTTAGCTTGCCCTTTCCATAGGCAGCTGCCCCGGCTGCCCCAGCTCTTGTCCAGTGAAAGTGTGAATCTTCGGATCGCTGCCGGCGAAGCCATCGCGCTGCTCTTTGAGCTTGCCCGGGACCTTGAGGTGCGAGGGAGAGTAGGAAGTGCCTGCTGGCACCACGGACCATCCCAGGCTGTTTGCCCTACCCCCACCCCACACACAAAGCTGTCTTGGGTCATTTTGTAGGGGAGGTGACCCCAACACTTAGTCATATGCTAAGGGCTATCGTGGAGATTCTAAGGAGAGGTGAACTTCTGGGGAGAGGCCACGGTGGGGCTGAGAGAGGAGGCAGGCAGAGAAGAGAGCAGTGAGTGGAACGAAAGCTTTGGAAAACACTGCTCCACGCCGGGAGAGCTGTAGCTTGTACCCACCTCCATTGCTCCCCCTCAGGAGGACTTTGTCTATGAGGACATGGAGGCTCTCTGCGGCGCTCTGCGTACCCTAGCCACTGACAGCAATAAGTACCGTGCCAAGATTGATCGTCGACGCCAGCGCTCCATTTTCCGTGCTGTGTTGCACTTTGTTGAGGTGTGTGTGTGTGTGTGTGTGTGTGAGAACTTGGGTATGCAGTTCCCCAGGGGCTGGAGAGATGCCTCAGTAGTTAAGAGCACTGTCTGCTCTTCCAAAGGACCTAGGTTCAATTCCCAGCACCCACATGGTAGCTCACAACTATCTATAATGCCAATTCCAAAGGATCTGACATCTTTAATGCACATAAAATTTTTTAAAAATTAAAAAAAAAAAAAAGAGAGAGAGACGACTGTGTCCCCACAGGTTAGGCGAGGTGGATGAGACCTATAATCCCAGCACTCAAGAGGCAGGACCATGCTGGGGGATTCCAGGACAGCTAGGGCTACTTAGGCCCTGTCTTAAAACGCACATGTATGCACATGTGTTCATAGTAGCCAGTCCCAGTCATGGGCGCTGGGCGCTCTACCCTACAGGGCGGTGAATATGAGGAGGAGACGATCCGCTTTGGCCTGGAAGTGCTCTACATAGACAGCTGGGCTCGCCGCCGAATCTACACAGCCTTCAAGGATGTGCTGGGTTCAGGCATGCACTATCACCTCCAGGTGAGGGGACACACGGGGATGGCTTCCCAGCTTGACTGCTTCAGACTGGCCTTAGCTAATTGCCTTGTCTTCAGAACAATGAGCTTCTCCGTGACATCTTCGGCCTGGGCCCTGTGCTAGTGCTGGATGCTGCTGCCCTGAAGGCCTGCAAGATTTCACGTTTTGAAAAGGTTGGCATCTTGTGACCTGTAAGCCTAGACTGAGAGAGGGCCGCAGGAGGAGCCTGAACTTTTCCTTCCCAGCTCACTAGGCTCCCTTCTTTGCTCTTCCACAGCACCTGTACAATGCTGCGGCCTTCAAAGCCCGGACCAAGGCCCGAAGTCGTGCAAGGGACAAGCGGGCAGACATCTTGTAAAGCTGACTGGCCAACAAGAAGGCTACCCATACCCTTACCATATTTTTAACAGAAGACAGTTCAAAAAACTGGTCCCTGCCAGTGATTGTCACTTTATTTTTTAATGATGAAACCAAAAACAGACATATGTGGGAGGGTCAAGGGATCAGGGCACTTTAGGACTCTAGCTAGCCCTTTGTGTCTGCACTCAGCTCTGTGGCTATGGCCTTTTCCTGTCCTGTCTCAGGTGAAACCAAATATGTGCCCATCCTAGAGTCGACGGGCAGGTGAGAAAGGACTGTCTCTTGTTTCTTAGACCTTGCCCCCTAGGACTGCTTCTTTTGGGGGGGGTCTGGCACCTGGCCACCATGGCATAGGGTAGGCAAAGCTGCCTAGAATGGGTGTGTGTGCTGATTCTTAAGGAGAGAATTAAACAATACTTATTCCCCTGTATCCTTTTTTCTGAATTCTGAGTCTCTTGCCTGCCTTCCCTCTCATCTACCATGCCAGGCTTGGCCCCAGCTAGATCTCTATTTCACCTTTGTCCTCTATGGCAGTCTCTGCCCACGTGGTCCCCCACCCCCACTGCAGCCTAGCTTGTCTGAGCTGAGACTGGACCCCCAACTAGGAAGCCTGGCAGCGTGGCTGGTTGTGCAGGGACAGCTATTTCTAGACTTCTGAACCTCCTATCTGGGGCTGTCCAGAGGGTGCTGACAGCCATAGGAGGGAGCCAGGAGAAGGCTTGTGCCCCATCCTCTGACCTTTGGCTATTCAAAGCAGGGCCTTGGCACCAGAAGGTGTCATCAGGCTTGGCCTGAAGAGGTCAAGAGAGATAGGTAGCTGTTGAGTCAAATTGGGCTCTTGCACAAAAATCTCACCGAGGAATTAGTGTAGATGTGGTCATCAGTAGGTGAACAGAGACCTGCCAGAGGTCCCTTTATTCCCCTCACAGTTCTCACATACAAATGGCATCTCAGCTGGGTGCCCGAGCTTCGCTGGAGTTGAGCCTCCTTAGCTGGCTGAGGCTAGCCAGACGCAATTTGAGCAGAGTCTCCTCTTGTGTGCGCAGTGTGTGTGCCAAGACCCTCAGGGATTCACTCTGCAGCACTGGGGATTAGAAGACATTTGTGAGACCTTGTCAAGCCACATGCCCTGTCCCCCACCCCCATTTCCAAACAGCCCAACATCAGGGGTTGCCCTCTGCCCCATGCCCCACCCCTTATTGCTGCTTTTGCAGTTGCCCTGGGTTCCCAGCCCTGCCTGTTCCTACCACTGAGGTAGACAGCCAGGATGGCTAGCGCCAGGCAGGTGAACACCAGCAGTGCTAATAGCAGTAGGAACCCCCCACGGCCACACACGGGGCTGCAGCCAGCGTGGGTGCACAGTGACGGGGGCAAGACACCCAGAAGCTCTTCCCAGGGCTGCCTCTCTTCAGCCAGATAGGGCCTTAGTGAGCCTGTGGGGAGGATGGTTCGTCAGGAAAGTGACACCCTCGGCATCCATCTCGCTCCCTTCCCCCCCCTTACCTCCGCTGTGCAGGTCACTGATGGATTCCACCCGGTGCAGACGCACCTCCTGCACGTGGTTAGGAGCCAGCGTTGCCCTGTTCCTCTGGTTCTGCATTGGCAATACAGTGTCTACAGGGGCAGAGGGACCGATGTGAGCAAACCAGCCGCTGCTGGTAGGTAACCTCGGGCCGCAGGGACTTGAGATACATAGGAACCGTACCTTTGGCATTTGCTTCCAAATTCTCTAGTTTCAGGAATGACTCTTAGTTTGGACGTAGGGGTTCCAAGGGCTTAGCCTGCAGCACTCTTGACATACTCCCGTGTTTACATTCAGGCATTCCTTTGCCTGCTTATTGCTAGCAAAAAGTTCATCAACCGAAGCCCACGGCCATTGTGGGCTGCCAGGACATGCTGCCTACTCCTAGGCAAACGCTAGGAGAGAAGAGAGCAGCAAACGCAGCTGCGTTCTAGCAATTCCTCCTGGCCTTGGATCTGCCTTTATGACCGCAGATTTCAGATTTTACTGCTCTTATGGGAGCCCTGCTGTTTGCACTCAACAGCACTGCAGGAGTCCTTTTTTTTCCTAACAGTTTCATAAGTCTTTGAGGTCTCCTTTTTCCGGCCTCCCTCTGAGGCTGTCTGGGCTTTTAGGTTGTTTCCAATTCCCTTTGGAAATTAACCCCCAGGACATCCATCATTAAATATGAAGGGTTTCCCCCATTTTCCTGAAAGTTACTGAGTTCAGTTCTCAGAAGTGGAATCACTGGGTCCAAGAACAGGTTTCTCTTTTAAATCTGTCATCAAAACTGTTTTCTAAAAGGCCTGTCCAGAGCCCCAGCAGTACAGCATTGCCACCACTAGGCAGCCCATTGAAAAAAATCCGTGTATGTTTGTGCACAGAAGCCAGATGTCTCTTGGGCCTGGCACTGGACCTCAACAAATGTCTAGGCTCACTAACCACTGAGCCCCAGGAACTCCTGTCTCTAGCTCACCAGACCTGGGATTAGAAGTGTGTGTCCTCATGTGACCTAATGTCCACTTCCCCGACATAAGGACTGACACACAGCATCTCATTCTTGACTTGCTTCTGAGCATGGCGGGGGCAACTTCGAGCACATCCTAGCTCCCGGAGAAATGAACTCGGGTCTTCTCACTTCAGGCAAGCTTTTTACAGCACTCTCCCCAGACCCTGAATGCACACTCCTTTACATCCATCTGCTAATTTGAGAGAGGAGAAACAGCTTGCCTTGATTGTGGCCTAGGGAACCTGACCAATGTGTGTGTAATTACCCACTCACAGGTTCTGCCCATTTAGTCACTGACTCTATGGTTCCCTTACGGTTAGATTTATTTCAGGTTCTGTTTTGCTTTTGAGATAGTGACTCACTATGTAACCCAGGCTGGCCTGGAACTCACTGAGTAGCCTGAGCTAGGATTGGCTTAGCCTTGAAATTCTGTCTCCGCTTACCACTGCTATCACATGTGTATATCACTATGCCTAGCTTTGTTATTGGTGTGTGTGTGTGGTGTATTTCCACACTTGTGCATATGTGTGGACTACAGAGGAGGACTTTGGGTGTCTTCATCCATTACTCTCTGCCTTATTCCTTTGAGGCAGGGACACCTCCTGAGTCTGGAAATCATGTCTTTTGTTTTTTGACAAGGGTGGACGCAGCAAGCCCCAGGGATCATCTTCACCTCCCAGTACACAAAGCACTGGGGTTATAAGGCACACAAGATGTGGTGTGCCTTATAAAACAAACCTGGCTTGTTTTATTTTTGAAAGAGTCTCACTATGTATCCCTGGCTGGCCTAGAATTCACAATGTAGACCAGGCTGGCCTTGAACTCACAGAGATCCTCTTGCCTCTGCCTCCCACGTGTGCACCACCAAGGCCCTCTATTGGATTTTTTTTTTTTTTTTTTTCTGTTCAGTCCTGGCTCCACAAGAGCTCCAGCCTGCCAGGGATCTCGCTAACAGTGGGGCACTGGGTAAGGATGGCTTTGGGCCCTCTGGGTCTTCCTTTGTGATGTGCTCGAAGCTGCCTCTTGACATGCGCAAAGAACTCAAACAGAAACATGCTGTGGGTCCTTAAGCCTGGACAGTGGACTGCAGGTCACATTGAATCCCCTCTTTGCACCTCACTGTGCTTCCCCCATTCTTTAGGTTTGAACATGTTTTATTTGCTACAGAAACACACACACATACACACAATAGATGCTGCAGTTAAGTTTTGCACCCCCCTCCCAAAAAAATGGTAAACATCTTCCCTTAGTAGCAGGCAGGCCCTTCTCTGCAGTATACAATGTTGAGGGCTACAGAACTAGAGCCCTGTCCCTCCCCAGCGGCCACCTCTCCTACCTGCTTGGGTCTCCTCCGGCATGGCGGTTGGTAGGTAGTCAGGGGCCCGATGAGAGTGCCCAGTAGCTGAACTAGACAAAGGCACTAGCGGCTCCTTTGGGATCCTGGGATAGACCTGGCTGTCTCCCAATCTGCTCCTAAAATAGGCCTGAGCTCACTTCCCTGGGCTATATTTAGAGGGGGCAGCTCTGAGCCATGAAAAGGGGCAAAGTGACCCAATTGGGCTGGCCTAGACTACCTACTTGGTGATGGGACTCAGGCAAGAGCAAGCCTCCTCTAGCACATGGGCCCAGGGAACTTCTCAGAAAACCCTATCAACTCTACACACGAATAGGCCATGTAGCTATGATAGAAAAGGAACCCTGAACACCTCCACTCAGCCATCTGGCATTCCCATAGGTGCTTTACCGACACACCAGCAATCTCCTTCCAGCAAATGTGAGATAAGCGCCAGCCACTGTGTGACCATCTAGTGCCAGATATTGGCGAGTGGGCAACTGGAGCCCAATGCCATAGGGATCTGGCAGCCCAACAAGTGGGCACCCCTGCTGGCCAGTGGACAGACTGGGATTCATAGCTACTATTTCTAGCATTGAACTATGGCCTTAGGTAGAGAACCTTGGGAGTGGCCTCTGTTTTTCCATCTGATAGATGGGAGCAAGGGTTCCCGGCCAATTGTATTGAGAATAAAAACGCAGAGATGTGGCTAAAGAGTTTAGCACAACGTAGTCCCGGTCCGCCCTTCCTCTCCTCTCCACAGGGCTTAACAGGCCACATGGGGGCGTGTTGTGCACTCCTGAAGGGGGCTGGTCCAGCTTTCAGGCCTCAGTCTGTGGGTGGATTCTGTTCTGCTGTTCTCAGCTGTGCAAAACAAGACTGGGGAAGCCGGGTGTCTGAATCCCATACTATCACATGAGCCTCCTTGCCCTTCCTCAGACTCGGCGGGCTTGCTCCCCACTCCAAGACTTGGCACTGGTCCTTCCATCCTGGAATCCTCTGCCACCAGACATCTGTGACTGGCCCCTTCTTTTTCTGTTTTCGTTTAGTTTGTTTTTTTGAAACAGGGTTCCTCTGTGAAATAGCCCTGGCCTGGCCTGGGCTCACCATGTAGACCAGGCTGGCCTGGAACTCAGAGATCCACCTGCCTCCGCTGGGACCAAAGGTGTTCACCACCACACCCTGCTGGCTGGCTGGCTCCTTGTTACCTCTCAGCTCAAGCGCCACCCTTCAGTGAGTTCTGCACACCTCCTTGCCTGCCACATCCGGGGTTGTTGGTTTGTTTGTGCATCAGAGAGCTGGGCCCTGCCATGAATGCACTGTGCACCCCAGTACCCCCCGAGGCTCTCTGGAACCAGCTTAACCGTCTAACCGCACTTTTCATCTTCACTGCAGCAACCTTGGATGAGAAAAACCCAAGCCTCGAGACTACTGGGACAATGCCCGAGACCCCCAGCGAGGTCTAGGACTGCCTGTTATCTGCTTGGGCGGTTCCAACGTCAGCTGATGAAGTGTTTATTGCATTACTTTAGTACAGTTGGCCTGCCACATGCCCCATACCCAACAGTCTGATCTGTTCACAGCTTTCTGTTCACTGCCCAAGAAAGAGATTGCTTCCCCCAGGACGGGCACCCAAGACAGCTCTCTGGCCCTGGTCTGCTCTGGAACCCTACTTCTCTGTCCACTCCCTCCAGGCTAGATCCTGAATTGAGCCTGGACCCCTCTTTTGGGGCTACATTCACAAGTTATCTTGTTAATAAATAAGCGACCCTTTGGCCAGGGCCTATGCAGGGGTTAGGTGTCTCCGTTGGCCCAAGGACCTCAGTGTGCCCCAGCCACAGCTCATCTGTCTTCCTGGCATCTGTCGGACCCCTCCTCTGAGTGTCATATCCATCCCGGTCGGTCCCCGGTGTGGGGACCAGCCGGTCACCAGTGTTCCGCGCTGCGTGGTCCACGCTCAGCACGCAGCTCAGAGACATGCGTCCGCCTGTTGCGCCCCTTCCGCCGTGATTCCGCAGGCGCAGGGTGGGGCCCGGGCTGCGGGCGGCACATTCGCAGAGAGGAGGCGCCTCCACCGCCGCCTGGTTCCACCAGCTGCAGAAAGTCCCGGTACCAGAGCTTAGGACCCGAGGGCGCGGGAGCTACCGCCTCCTCGGCCCGTGCCAGTCGTTCAGCGGGTACCGCGCTCAGCACGTGCAGCACCAGGCGACGCAGCGGCTGGGAAAAGCCTTGTTCCACTGCCACGCACAGATACACGCCCGAGTCCTGGCGCCGCAGACCATGCAGCAGCAGCCCCCGCGCTGTGCGCTCAACGCGGTCCTCGGCCAGCACCTGCCATGAGAGGGCGGGAACGGAAAACAAGGGTCACTGGGAGCCACAGCTGGACAAGGCACGGAGGTGCTGGCACTAACAGATACGGGCACTGGGATCAGTGTGTTTCAGATGAAGATTCGCTCTGGGTGAGAGAGGGTCACCTGAATGGAGGTTGGGGGGAGACTAGAACCCTCAGTGAGTGGGTTGGGGGCTCTCTCCCTCCAGATGGCAGAGGGTGAGTCAGGAGTCTAGAGGGACGCAGTGGAGCATCACCAGGCTGTGAAGAGCAGGTAGGGACAGAACAGGAGGATCTAGAGGAGCCTGCGCGGAGCCTCATTGAACTGGATTTCATCTAAGGGGTGAGGTGCAGGCCAAAGCTTGGTTGGGAAGGGCGGAGGAGGCGCACCTGGGTGTGAGCGGCCTCCCCCGCACGTTGGAAGGTCCATTCCACTTGCGCCTGGAGTGAGCGGGGCTCACACTCCAGAAAGGCGCTCCCACTCTCCACACCTAAGACTTTCCTCTCCAGCAGCGCAGAGTGAGGGGAGTCTTGAGAGAAAAAGGTCAAAATTCAGACAAGGCAGGGCTGGGTGTGGCCATTTCAAGGCCTGAGGGTAGGAGCTTATGCGGTACTCACCCCCAGGGCACTGGGTGCTGGGGTCACCATTCCTTATATCCTGCCTCCGGAACCTCCTGACAGAGACATTAAAACCTGTGAGCCCTTCTCTGCCAGTGGCAGAGACGCCCTCCCGGTGGTCCAGCGCGGACTCCAAGCCGACCCACCTCTTGGCAGTAGGCTGGAAGCGTGTGCAGGCTGACCCATCCCAGGCGCAGTAAGGGTCACGCGCCAGGCAGCATTCTGCACAGGCGCGGCCTAGGGCCGAGCAGCGGTGCAATGCAATCTGGGCCACGGCGCTGGGTGATGCTATGTAGAGCTGGTTCTAGAAGGCACAAGAGTCTCCAGTCCGATTGAGGACAGCCCTTACCTGGCTCCCTTCATTCAAAAGCTAGCCTTTTCCCCACTGGACAGATGGGAACACTGAGGTCTCGTTGTCTAGCAAAGAGGAGCTATGCCTGAAACTCTGGGCTTTGAAAGCCAAAGAAGAAGCAAGACAACCGGGACACTGGTGGCACAAGTTCAGTTACTCACCCTCTTCGAGGAGATTTGCATGCTGGTGACTGTGGCCGAGTCCTGAAAGGGAGGCAGGACATGGGGCTCAGGGCTAAGAGGCTTCAGGTGGGGCGTCCTAAGGTGACGGGGGAAGAGGCCTCACCTCAAACACCTGCAGCTCTTCCAGGAGAAGGCCTTCAGAGTTAGGCCGGCTACCCTTGGGGACTGAGATCACCTTTAGCACTGTGCCCACATCTGTAGAAATGAGAAGGAATGACTATTGGTTGTCCCTGACAAGCCGTGTGTGTGTGTGTGTGTGTGTGTGTGTGTGTGTGTGTGTGTGCCCTGTCTCCACCTTCATCATGGTTGGGTCATGAAAAGGTTAAAAGAATTGTAGGTTGGAACAACTAGGGTAGCCCCCAGAAAGCGGGGTCACAGCCCCGACAGAGATGTAGCTATTTGACCACCTCCAGGCCAAGGAACTGGAGGGAGCTCTATGTCCTATGGGCCATTGTGAGGAGACCCTGACCTGTACCAATGAAGAGAACATCGTAGTGTCCATCAGCAGCTGCTACTCGGTCTGCAGCGATTTGGGTGAAGGTGTACCCAGCTCCCACTTGTAGGAAGAGAGGACGCCCCCCCATGGGCAGGACTGAGTTGTACATGAGAGGGTGGTTCCGGGCAAACTGGATAACATCATCTGGGAAGTCCTTGGTGGAACTGAAGGTACCAAAGGTCTTGCTGGGGCACTAGGGAAGGCAAGGCATGTCAAGCAGAGATAGACACAGAGCGATTTTGTGGCCAGCCCTCCGTTCAAAGCCTCTGGGAACATGAAAGGGGCAAAGGGACAAGGTCCCTGAGTATCTGAGCTTCTTCCCTGGTGAGCTTTAGGCTGAAGGGGACACATGATCTCACTCTGCAGTTCTACCTTATGATGGTGACAATACCTCACCCATATCAAAAGGAAGAAATCAGACCTCACCCCCTCACCCCACCCCCGCAACAGAACCCAGGCCAAGTCACGCTGTCCACCCACCACGAGACTTTGAAGTTGATTGTTTCAAGCAGTCCCTAGCAACGCACCATGCCAGGCCGTGGGTAGGGGACGCGACCCTGGTAGGACACCCACTGATGTGTAGGCCCCTCCTTGTGAGCAAAAGGTCCCAAGAAGGCTCGGCGCACGTCATTCATGCTGTACACGCACACAGCAGAGCCCTGGAAGATGCCACTGCAGACGATGAAGAGAGCAAAGTGAGGGGTCCCGGCAAGCTCAGCTGACTGCCCAAGGGAACTTGTGCTTCCTGCCCCTCACCTGGAGGTGGAGAAGACAGCATAGAGAAGCGATGCCTGCCGGTCCCGGGAGGACAAAAGGAACACATCCTCTGCAGGGAGAGGAGAGGTAGGCAGGGCAGTACAATCACACCTCAGGCTCCTGGACTCTGCACCCTGACCCCTGCCCTGATGCCACTCCTCATTCAAGACACTCACGAAGTTGATCAAAATAGGTGTCACCCTCAACTCCAGGGACTGAGCACACAAGCCTCGCCTTGAGGAAAGTGGTCCATTTGTTGACCAAGCTGCGCTGGCCACCCAGGTCATTCTGCTCACAGGGGCAGAAGGGAGGAGAACAAGACCATAGTAGGCAAAAGGTCAGGGGCAAAGGTAGCCAGGGGATGAATGGCCCGGTGTCTTCTTACCCGGCAGATCTGACCAACACGGGACACGGTCATGCGTCCCGTTGCTGGTGCTGCTTCCACTGCAGACTCACGGAAGAAGAAATAGATTTTATCGTCATCGGGGTTCTCGCTCTCTGGGATCCAAAAGACCTTGACAAACTTGGGTTCTAGCAAAAATAGGAGGAATGGTATCAGTGGGTCCTGGGCCAGGCGCCAACATGGAACCCATCTATCTGCAGGGTCCCGCAACCAGAGCCTCCACAAGAGGCCCTTATGATCAGCATCTGCAAGGCATGAAGCAGCCACGAGGGGGCAGTAGAGACTATAGCTACGCCCGCAAGCAGGCTGTCCCTCGCCCCTTCTGACTGTGCCACACTTTCTTAATTTGCCAGGAAAAGAGGGAGATGGAGGTATCTGCTTTCGCCTTCATTCAGAAATCTTCCTCCCGAGCAGATCAAATACTCCCTGTTCCTGCTGTCCCATAGTAAAGGACGCCAGCCCTTGAGAGCCTTACATTTCCTATCAATACTAGTCGTCTGAGCCTGTTTCTTTGCTGGCTCTATCCTCAAGGCCCTTGCACTAGTCATTTTCCTTACCTGGAATGATCTTCCAACTCTGCTGGCTGCTTTTTCTTGTGTCCTGGAAGCTATTAACTCATAGCTCCTCCCAGCATGTAGCTTTCCTCAACCCAGACTCCTCTTCCCTTCTCTAGCCTTTCAGTGGTGTCATGGCCACTGGAGGGTTTTTGTTGGTTTGTTTTTCAAGACCGAGTTTCTCTGTGTAGCCTTGGCTGTCCTGGATTCACTTTGTAGACCAGGCTGGTCTCGAACTCACATCTATGTGCCTGCCTCTGCCTCCCCAAGTGCTGGAATTACAGGTATGTGCTACCACCATCGTGCCCGGCGACTCTTGCCTGTCTCTGTAACGGAGCCCAATTGTAGTAGATGCTTGGAGAGACTTCACTTTGCCCATCGCTCTGCTGCTTTTTCAGTGTGTGGCCCCTTTCCTGTTGGAGGATGGCAGCTCCCCCCCCCAGCTCCCCCCCAGCTTCTCACCATTGAGCCAGCGGGAATCATGGGGCTCTGTTCGGAGACTCGGATTCGGGCCCAGGCTTCGAAAGATGGTAAAGTCACGGCCCATGAGGTCCGCCGCCACCCCTGAATACAGCTCTTCCCCTGCAGACAGGGCAAGAGGATGCTTAGCCAGCTGTGAGCCCTCAGAGTAAAGGTACCGAGGAAGCTTGCAGGGAGGGGTGCTCAGGGATTCCAGACCACAGGGCATCCTTGGGACATGGGATGTTTTAAACTTCCAGGCGGTTCCAGAGTTACATTGGGTGCCAGCCTTCGGACTCACCCACCAGCACGGAGGCAGCCCGATGCCTCGGGTCATAAGGACTCTTCCCCTTGCCATCTTCAAGCTTCCTCAGGTCCAGCCGAAGCACGGGTTCCTGGGAGGTGAGGGAGGGAGTTGTCAATGCCAGGCCCTTCGTCACCTGCTTCCTGTCGCCCCGCCGCCGGCTAGTCGGGGTCTTACCTCCAGCCGGTGTCCCACCTCCACAAATGCACAGGTTGGGTGGAAGGCCCCGGTGCCACAGGCCAGCAGGTGGGTGTGGTTATAGACATGCAGCAGCTTCACAAAGTTCATGCACTCCGTCTGGTGGGCAGGCAGCGGGGGCAGTCAGGTTGTGCCCGGGCGGCGGCCCTAGGGAGCTGCAGCTCCCTAGCGGCATCCCTACCCTTCCAACTCTTCTCCATCATAAGTTACAGGGACCTGAGTGCCCTTGGTGACAACCTACCTTCACAGGCTGGCTACATGAGGAAGGGCAGATCTGCACGGGCCCCCATGACTCAGAGGTCCCCCAAGAAGGATCACATGGGCCCCCACTGACTCATCGCCTCCAGACCTCATCCGCCTTGACCTCCCTGCCCTTACCCGGTCAGAACAGGCTAGCCTCTCTCTCAGCCCTGGAAATGAGGGGGCCCAACCCTTTCCCGCACGCTACCCGTTGAGTGGGCCACACTCACACCAATGTCCTTCCCTGCCCAGTTGCACTCTTCTCGCCATTCCACAGGGGCCGGCCAGGCCAGCTATGGGAAGGGAAAGCAGGTTAGAGACTTGAGGTGCTCTTTATTTGGCGGGGTTTCTCCATTCAGTTGTCCACCCCTTGGAGATTCTCTAGAGTCTAGCGTCTGGACAGTCAAGAGCAGGATCCCAAGGCAACACTGAAGTTGGGGAAGGTTAGGGGTCCCTGGCACCTTTTTGGCTCGCTTGCTGATGTTGTCCAGGCTGAGGGAAGCCACATGGTTCTCAGCGCCGACAAACAGGCGTCCACGCTCCTCGTCCACTAGCAAGGCTTCATAACAGCAGGTCCGCTCCAGCCTGAAGGTCCGGACACCATGCCGGGCCTGTAATTCTGTAGGGAAGAGATACCTCAGAGTGCTTGCCTGTCTCGACAGGAACTTCCTCAAGGCCCTGCCTGGTTGTCTCTCTGCAGACCAAGATTATTTGTGTGACCCAAGCCACACGCATGTACACTCCCATGCATGTGGGCTTATGAGTTTGAAGACTGGCCCACCCAGGTGCACGCACAGAGTCGTGGGGTGGGCGGTGCAGCCCCCAGAGATGGGGAAACAGGTTTAGGAAAACATGTGCAGACAAGTGGGCTGGCATGCTGGGAAGCCAGGCTCACAGACTCCAGGGTTCTAGGAAAGGCAGAGCCAGTAGAAACGGACAGAATCCCATCCCAAAATGCGAGGCTGTGGGTGCCTTCTCTGCCGCCATACCACTAGCTTGGATTCAGCGGAGCTGGCCACCAGATGCCACTCAGGGCCCAGGGAACACTCCTCTGTGCAAGGGGTAGAAGAAAGCAGCTCTGATGGCCCCCAAACCTTGACTTTCCTGCTACAGAGACATGGCTTGCCTTAGGGTAGGAGGATGAGACAGAGACAGAGACAGAGACTGTTGCCATGGAGACAGTAGGGGTCCTTCTTGGGAAAGCATGAGGAGAATGTAGACAGAGAGGCTAGGACAGGGTTAACTGGAGCTGGCCCAAGAATACCTCCAGCCCAACAAGTGCCCGGTGGTAGGGATGCACCCGTGGGCACCAGGAAGTCTTTCCACACCCGGCCCTTCTCCAGCTGCCAGGTGCACCTACCTTGAAAGGAGAGCCGAAGGCGAGGAAGGTTAGGGGCGGCATCCCCCAGCCCTGCTGCCCAGAGAAGGGCCAGGCCTAGGATCATGGCGGCGGCCTCGGCCCGCCCCATGCCGGCAGCTCAGGGCGCTCAGGGTTCAGCAGGCGTGTGTGGAGGAGCCTTCAGCTGCCCTGGACTCTGCCCCAGGATCTGGAAGAGAAGAGGCAGCAGCAAGGCAAAGAGGGTAAGGGCGGGAGGGCATGGAGGGGAGTCCCAAGGGATCAGATTACAGCCCCAAGGGAAAGAGGCTGGGGGGTCGCATACCGTTTCCTCTCCACCAAGGATGCCCCGCCTGGCCACAATCAGAGACACACCCACACCGGGCACACCCTCAGGGTCACCCTGCACTGGCAGGCACCCGCCCCACCACGTCACCCTCCTCAGTAACCTCCCCTTCTGCACACACACTCGCAGACATTAATTCACAAACACTATGCACCCACTTTATGCCAGCCTGGGGCAGGGACAAGGGTACTGATGAGGCAGACAAGGGCCCCAGGCAGTAAAGGGCAAAGGGCCAACTAGAAGTCAGATCCTGTGGTCACTGCAGAGGGCACCGAGTGCAATGAGCAAAACAGCTGATGAAAGAAAGAATGACAGGAGTCGGGTGAGGCCTCTGGAGGAGGCTCTGTACCCACGGACCAGCGGGGAAGCGCAGAGGTACTTTGGGGACTGGAGCCAAGGTTGTGGGTGACTACTAGAGATATGAAAATATTTTGGAGGGTCCCTGAGTGAGCGCGCATACATGAACAATGTGTATATGTGCGTATGTATAAATGTCCGTGAGCAAATGTGTGTCACCCCATGTAGATGTAAGCTGAGAGTGCGAACGTGCGCGCGCATGTGCGGCACTGTGTGTATGTATCTCTTCAGTGTGTACCAGCATAAAATATGCCAGTTTGGTTCACCCCTGCGCATGGGCAGGTGCGTGTACGTCCATAGTGGACTTGCAAGTGAATGCAAAGGCAGAATCAATCACTTCCTTTAACTCTGTACAAGGCAGACTAGTCATCCCGGGTCAACTCCAGCAGGCCTTTGTGGCTGATTGTTTCCCCTCTGCAGCCTGAGGGTAGAAGCTAGACAGGTCGAGACTGAGGTCAGGCTTGACCCAAGAGAGGAATGTGGACAGGGTGAGGCGACCTCTCCGCTCACCTTTAGCTCCAGGTACAACAAATGGCTGTTCCCTTCTATTTCCGAGTCTTAAGTTTCCCTGGCTGTGAGCCCCTCCGCTGAAGCACACACCTTGCCTGGCACACTCAGGTGGAGCCCAGGTTCTGGGTGCTATGGCCAGCCTCCTTTACAGGAGCAGGCAGGACAGGGGGGCCACGAGGGCCAAGGCCATGGTGTGGATTGAAGAAGGGAATTAACTGCTAGGGTGGGTCTCAAACCTCTCCTCCCTTCATTCTCTACGCCCCCCACCAGTTTCTGGACCCCTCCCAAGCCGAGCCAGGCCCCCCTGTCTCCCTCCTTCCATCTGCTCACACTTGCCTGCGCCTCTCCTGGGGTTCTTAGCAGTCTGTGAGGCTGACAAGGGCTGCCTTCCCGCACTCCACCAAGAACTCTGCCAAGGTGTCTTCCGCCTTAACCCCTCTTGTCCTGGGGAAGGGGAGCAGGCTAGGGCCCACGGGGCACCCTTGGACGGCTCCTTTAAATAGAAGCCCCCGCCCCCACCAGGCCAGCCACCGCCCAGAATACCATAAAGTTTGCAGGGCTACAGGGTGGATCGGGTGACCGGCACAGGCAGCTGAGACTGGCTGGAGACCACGGTGGCCCCCCGCATGAGTAGAATGGGAGCAAGGGTTGGGCAGGTAGAGATAGCCCTCTCTTGCTGGATCTCAACGTGAAGGGCGTCCTATCTGGTAGTCCCGGAAACCTGGCAGTAAGTTAAGGCAAAGCAGGTGGAAACAGCAGAGACCCTCCCTGGCAGTTCAGTGCAGGAGGGAGAGGGAATGGTAGGCCAGGCACTGCAGGTCCTCACCTGTCCCTCCACAGCTAAGACATGATTGGATACTCAGCGGCAAGCTCAGTTCCCAGACAGGTGGGTCAGAGGCCAGGGAAGGAGCTCTCCTCCCCTTTTCTGGGCCTCAACCCCAGTTTCTTTTACCAATTGGACCTCTTAAAACTTCAGCTGTCTGGCCCCACAGCGGCCAGTGCAGTGACAACCAGGCAGGAAAAGGGAGGGGGGCTCTGTCTGGAGAGTGCGGGCCTATCCTCAGGGCTTTTACCACGCTGGAGCTAGGGGCAGCCTTTGGGGACATGGATGGCCTAGCAACTCCAGCTCTCTTCCAAGCTGGGAAGACTGCCCTGTCCATCAAACCCAGAGCCAGGTACCTGAGGGAGGTTTGTAGGGTTGTTTTTGTTTGTTTGAAGGCGGGGTCTCCTGCAGCCCAGGCTGACCTGGAACTTGCTATGTAGCCCAGGATATGGCCTTCAACTCCTGTTTCTCCTACCTCTGCTTCTCAAGTGCTGGGCCAGGTGTAAGGCAGGTAAATTTCATATAAGACAGACTCCTACACTTGACTTTGGTGGCCATGTTAAGAAGTACCTGGGGTGGGCTGGAGGGATGGCTCGGAGGTTAAGAGCACTGGCTGTTCTTCCCAAGGTCCTGAGTTCAATTCCCAGCAACCACATGGTGGCTCACAACCATCTATAATGAGAACTGGTGCCCTCTCCTGGCCTGCAGGCACACATGCAGGCAGAATGCTGTATAAATAATAAATAAATAAATCTTGAAGAAAAAAAAAAAAGTACCTGGGGAAGCTGGGCATAGTGCTGCCTCTCTCCCAGCACTCAGGAGGCGGAGGCAGGCCAGTCTGGTCTACAGAGTGAGTCCAGCCAGGGCTACACAGAGAAACCCTGTCTCAAAAAACAGGGTTTTTTGAGAAACAAACAAAAACAAACAAAGAGAAGTACCTGGAGTCTTGTCCCGTAGCTTGTTCTGAAAAGCACTTTCTGTTTGCACTCTTAGGAGCACTTTAGAGGGGCTGGCTGTTGCCTCAATCTTCGCAAAGCTGGCCTCAGGGGTCAGAAGCCCTCCGGCCTCAGTTGTACCAGTTGTATGCCCAGGTCTTGTGGCACTTCAACTGGGAAGTTTTGTTACATACTGCCTGGGTGTCATCCAATCGGAGGTCAGGGGACACAGACAGAGATAAGGGGAGACTTATTTCCCCAGGAGCCTCAGGATCCAGTGTTCCTGACCTGCCTGTCTAGTGGCAGTGGGAGAAGGACCAGGGGCGGTCGGGAGGTTGCCTAGCCTCTAGGATGAGGCCCTGCCCTGCTCCTGGGCTGGCTGCCTCTCCCCATGGACCTGGCGGCCTCCCCTGGCCTCTTGCAAGCAAACAACATTCTTTGGCTGTTTACAATTTTCCACCCAGCAGCAAGTGTCGCTGAGGCCCCTACCCACCCCTGCTGTGTCCCCTGTCTGCCCAGACTGCCTCCAGTTTCTCCAGGCCCAAGGATCCAATCTCGATTCTTTTATCACCAGCCCTGTATTCCACTTGGGGTGACCGCACCAGACCCCCTCCATCTTTCTGACAACCTGAGACTCGATTCCCAGCTCGAGGGAATGAGCTGTCCCTGGCCCCCTTAAGCCAGGTGACTCAGTCCTACAGATGCGTCTCCTCCCTTGAAGGGGGAGGCCTGGGTGGCAGGTTCCTCAACAGGTCTCTTTTCTGTTCCCTAGTTTCATCATGCTGGGCTCAGGGGAGGGGTCCCCTTAGAGGCAGCACTTCAGGTATCGGTACCCAGCTGTCATAATCAGACTCCTAAAGATTCTGAAATAAGGCAGTCTTGGTTTGAGTCTGAAGCCCAGAGGCAGCTAGGGTTCCTTACCCTGTTTGTGCCCCTGCCCTTGCCCCCTGGACATCCACTAGCACAGGCCTGCCTGGGTTCTTCCTACGGAGTACCCTTACAGCCTGCCAAGGCTTTGGCTTTTCCTTTTGGAAATAACTGGACTGTTGCACCAAGTCACAGAACTCGTCTCCCACCTCTTCTTACCGCTGAGCCCACCCCCCTGCAACCTGCCTGGACCCCCCGTGGTGTGGCTGCTGTAGGATGCCCATCTGATGAAGGCTGTGCCAGTCACGCCAGTGCCCCGGGCTGGCTGGGTAGGGTCTCAGGTTCCCCACTCACACCTGCTTTTGCAATCAAGGCTGGCGGCTCCACGTTACAACCTTCCCCCACTGGCCACGTGGGCACTAGGTCATGCGACTGTGAGGACTGAAGCTTTGGTGCCAGGAGGTGGGAGAACACAGCCATGAAGAGCCTCTGAAAGCCTAACTTCCCCTAACAGATCTCCTGGGGAAAAAATGAGGGTCTCAGGACATTCCCCACCCACAAACCCCAAGCCTGGTCTCCAGAGTTCACAAGACCCCCGGCCCACCTTTTGGAAAGATCAGCTCCTCCCCTCTTTGCCCGTTGCCCTTCCCTTCAGTGGGTCATGTCAGAGCTGAGGTGGAGGGGTGGCAGGAGGGGCCAACAGGAGCCTTGGGCCTTTAGCTGTGGCCCTCCCCCTACTGGCTCCACCCCCGTCCTCCCTCTCTCCCTCCCTCGTGCGCATTCCTCCCAGACTGAGGTCAGCCCCTCTGGGATGGGGAGGCCCCCCCCCCTCAACCAGCCACATCACAGTTTCACACTCACTCCTGTTTTCTTCATTGCCCGGCAGAGTGGGGTGAGGAAGCAAGGGGAGTGGGGGTGTGGCCTCCTCGTTCGCTACAGCCTTTGAGGGAGGGGCCATGCCAGGAAAGCTGCAAAAGTGGACTGTGTGGCACGCTTTACTTATCAACAGACGTTTACATGAATGATGTTTACAGAAATACCACATTCCCTAAGCAGGATATAGAGAGCCTCCCAGGAAGTCCTGCCTTGAGTGGGGAGCACCCTCTGGATGCTCTGGGAGGAGTTGAGGGGTTGAAGATGCTGTGGGGACTCCCCAGAGTGCATTTAGTGACCAACGCTTTTCCCCCCTGAAACACGATTTGTAGACCAGGCTGGCCTGGTCTACAGAGACCAGCCTGCCTCTGCCTCCCAAGTGTGGGGATTAAAGACATGAGCCACCACCTGCCAATCTTACAGCTCATCTCATTTCCTTGTCAGTCACTCTAGCCACCTGGGCCAAGCAGGCTGGGTGCAGGCTAGAGGCACAGCAGGTGTTTGCTATTGCCAATGCAGGTCTGGGCATCTGATGAGGGCCTTGAGGGAAACACTTCTCTGTCATGGCTACCAACCCAGCCTCAGGCTCAGTTTCTCTCTCACCCCTCCCTCCTGCTTCCTACCCTACACAGCCACTTTCTTTACCCTCAAACCATTGTGCTCAGGGCTTCACCTCTCTCCCCTGAGGAGTC